TGAGTCACATGGTACCTGAGCAGATGACAGCTGCATCTTCGTAGTGGCCACAGTTGTGGGTGAACCAGCCTCCGTTCTGGCACTGCCAGAGTGTAGATTCTGTCCCCGAGCATGCCACATCATCCAGAGTGATGGGCCCAGAGCCTGGGCCAAAATAGGCCCCTCCCAGGGCTGACACTGCATTTCCACACCCCAGTTGTCTGCAGACCACCTGGGCATCCTGGAAATCCCAGGAATCATCACAAACTGTCCCCCACCTTCCACTGTGGTAAACTTCCACACGCCCAGCACATCTGCCGTGGGAATAGTTTGAGCTGACCAATCTCAGTCTGGCATCTGAAAGACATACGCCATGAAAGGTGATGGCCATGTTCCACAACGAATCTCAAAGGCCAACTAATCCATGGGCCTGACTCCATCCCCAATGTCATAGAAAGCACTGTCTGTGAGTTAGGTTTACTGCATGTTGTTATGAGGCTGGAAACTATGCCACCAGTATTCCAGATACCAGCAAGGTCACCCATGGTAGACAGGTTTCAACAAAGTTTTCAAGCTAAGACAGACTAGAAAGAAAGGCCTGATGACCTACTGAAAACTAACTAGTGAAAACCTTATGGATTAAATAGAATATTATTTGATAAGATGATACAGGACTGGGCAACATTCTGTTCTATTCTACATGAGGTCACCATGAATCAGAGCTGATGCCATGACAACTAACAACAAAAAAACAGGGTAGGGACAGTGAGCCTCCCCACGATAAAGCTGGAGGGGGCTCCAGACATCACGAGCTCAGAGACCTCTCAGTCTGCAGACAGGAGGGGCTGACTCAACAAGGAGGGTTAGCTTATACAAGGTACCATAGGAGCTGGAGGTAACCCTAAAGCTAGGATATGCCCCCTACTCTCCACACCACACTGACTTGGCTAAAGTTCCACCATAGTCAGAGAATGGACAAGGCATCACTGAAGCCCTTCCTTGCTTTCCCACGGGAACTGCTATGCAGACAGAAGAGGGGCTGTTTAAATCCACCAAGTCTCCTGGCTGGGGTCACATTTGCACTTACCACTTGGAAAGGAGTTAAACCAAGCAGAAAAGCCAGTGCTTTGGAAACTGACGTCACTTCGAAATCGGACGGTCATTCGGTTGGAAGAAGATGTGAATACCTGCCTGGTCCTGTTACAAAGCTTCCCTAGCAAATTGCTGCTGTTCAGTGGTCCATCGAAGATTTCAACATAATCATACATGCAATTATTGTGCATCTCCAACCTGGATAGAAAAATGTGTAATGTTAAGCGGTCACGTCAATATTGAAATTCCGATTGCACTATTTTATTGATAGCTCGGAGCTTATGAGTGATATGGTTGAATCTGAGATTTCCCCCTGGCTCTTCCTTCAATCAAACTAGAGCACTTCTCAATATTCCCTGATGCATCATGGTAGGGATCCAGGCAACTCCAGACCTCCAGGCAACTCAGTGCTCAGGATATGTTAGAACATGAGTGTGACAAGCGCTTAGCCCAGGAAACAGCTGAAACCACTGGGTCTCTGGTGTGGGACTCACCCTTCACCAGATGACCTGGGTGTTACTTACTGGAGATCATTGAAGCCCAGGTTTATGCGAGAACTGGAATTCACTACTATTTCCCAGACACAATTAGCATTGTTGGGGTAGAATCCAGGGTAGGATGGGCTGGAAAATGTGCCACTGGCATTGAGTAAGAGGCCACCACAATTTGAAGAGGGTCCTACAAAGAGAGAGAGAGAGAGAGGGACAACCCCATTGTGAAGGTTCTTCAGGGAAGCACTGGTGTGTCAGGACACGCTATCTTCTTCCAGGTAAGAGTCCTCAGGGTTTCAGCTACCACAACTCATAACATGATTTAATTTTTCCTGTATGCAAGTCACATCTCTGGGGCCTGGTTCTAAGCTGCCAGGAAGGAAAGCTCTCACCATGAGCCTGTGTGCTGCACTTATTGGGTCTAGAACAGTGACTCCTGCAGGGAGTGACCAAGTTCAGAGGCACCATGTGCCTCCTTATAGCAAAAGTGGCAAGTAAGCAACAAAGCAACTGTCATTGCTCAACAATGACAGAGAGGGGCATGGGGCAAACCTTGGCCGAGCATAGTGGCTGGCCAGTGGGGAGCACTCTGTGATGTCACTCATTCCCTAGCATCTCCTAGGATTCTGCCACTTCACAAGACACAGGCAAAGTGGCATCAGGGTTAGGGTTCCTGCAGAAGAAGGCCTGGGTTTACACCTTAACTCTGCCTTTTCACCAAGCCGCAGTTTCATCTCAGCCTCAGTTTCCACACCTGACAAATGAGGGTAATCATAGCATATACTTTATCAGCTTCTTCTGGGAATTAAATGAAATAATACATGTGCACCCTTAGAGCAGTGCCCGGCACCCAAAAAGCACTCAACAATAGAAGCTATTATTATTTATCAGGGAAGTGACTCCCAAGAAGGAGTGTGCCATATTCTTCCTGCTTCTAGAAACATGAGAGAGAGGAACTCTACAGAGGAATATGGCTAGGCTGGGGTGGAACAGATTTGCCTGGGGTAGGAGGAGTGATTGCTGCATTCGGAAGAAAGAGTAAGAAAAATGAGTCTGTCTCAGTGCTCAGGATATGTTAGAACAAACCATTCCGGATCCTAACAGGAGAAATAGGAAGTGCCTGTACCCTCCATAGCATTTAGAACCGCTTCTTGGAGGTCTCTCGGGAGAGTCAAATAGATTTAAGTCTTAGGAGTTAGACTGGCAAAAAGAGTGTGAGGAGAATTCATCCTTACGACTTCAAAGTAGAATAACTCATTCCTTGTCTGCTCTTCCTACCTAAGGATGCTTACCATGGACATGCTATGGCCCACCCATAAAATTCAGGAGGATAGGGATGACTGGTAAATTGCTTTAGAAGTATTGAGAAAACTTTCCATTTCCCAGAGATGCATAAGGTGAGGAGCCAAGTGCAAAAAGAGCCCTTTCATGGAGAAAACCACACACTAAAATAGAGGGTAATATCTTGGAGGCCTACCTGAGCAGATGACACCAGCGTCCTCACCATGTCCACAGTTATGTGAGAGCCAGCCATTATGGGGACAGCTCCACAGGTAGGACTCCTGTCCTGAGCAGCGCACATCGTCCAGGATGATTGGACCTGAGCCCTGACCAAATCGGGCATTTCCAGGGGCTGCTATGGCCCAACCACAGCCCAGCTGCCTGCAGACAACGTTGGCATCATTGGTGTCCCAGCTGTCATCACACACAGTGCCCCACGAGCCTCGGTACAAGACCTCCACACGGCCCTGGCACTGGCCACCTCCATTCACCAGCCTCAGTGCCAAGGCAGAATCAGATCCTAGAGGGAGACATAAAATTTCATTGTCCCCTGAGTGTCCTGAAGGAGGGGGTCTTGAGGTCAGACTGAGGTTGAAGATTCTTCCTGTGGGCCAATACCTCTGGTTAATTGTGTGAACCACAGAATTCCCTACAAGCTTAAGAGGGCTTGAGTTGGATGACCATCAAGAGGAAACAAAAGCATCATGACAAATACCTTCTGATTACAGTATAATTTAGAAGTGGTAGGTGAAGGGGACCCTTGTTATTTCATGAGGTGTGAGCTATTGAGGCTTAACACAAGACCCAGGAAGTTCATCCAGGCCTGTTGACAAGAATGTCAAACTTGGATGCATTGGATGGAATGAACTGATACTTACCAAGAAATGGAGTAGTTGTAGGCCACCAATCTGGGGAGAAAACCAAAGCGGGATTAGAATGGAGTGGACAAGGGATCATTGTTACATCTAGGGACATTTATCTGGAGATCAGAGACAGGGGTGTTTGATAAACTCCATTGACTGGGAGAGAAAGTGGCTTCTTCTGCACACCTTGAAATGAGCAATAATCATGCTCCTGAATGTCCACACAATGGTAACGAGGTGCTGCAAACACAAAGAGCACTTACAATGCTATGATGACAGATTGTTCCTTAAAAAAGCATCATTTAGTCTTTGGCTTAGGTATGACATGAGAAATCTCTGTTGTACCCTCACATATAACTCTTGGTCCAGGCAAGGCTTCCAGGCACAAGAGCCCCAAGAGCATGGCCTCCTTCTACTCAGAAAGCCCAAGGTGAGCCCTACTAGCAACCCACATGAGGGGCCAGGCTGTTCTAATCTCACTAAACCAGACAAGAGGACGAAAGTATTGTGGACTAAACTGGTACCATCTACATACCCTAAAGTTATCAGGAAAGGTCATGGAGATTAAAAAATAACTTCAAAGACCCCTCCTGTAGCTGGAAGTAGTAAGGGACTGTCCAAGTAAACAGGGAGAAAGGGACATGCATAAAGTTAAGGGACAGCAGAATTCAGCTAGCCTGGCGTGGATTGGTTGTGGGTAGCTGTGAAAAAGAGAAAGTCAAATCAGATGCATTGTGCAGAAATTGTCACCATGGGAAGCAAAGGGTGAAGAAGTTGAGCCAGGCAGAAACTCAGCCAATGCCTGGACCCAGCATGGAGGGCTGGGCATTTTTCATTCACCTCCCCTTGTGAGAAGGTGCTAAGCAAAGACCATGCAGATTCTGTCCATTGTTCCCAATGTCAAAGTAATTACCCCTGAGTCTGAATGATGGTTGCCAAGCTGATCCAAAAGCAAGCCTCTGCCTTGCATATTTCAGCAGTCCACTGTGTTAGCCAGTCTGCCTACATGTGATCTTTCAGATCCAGACATAGGCAATTATAAGTCTTGCTTGCCATATCTCCTGAGAGAAGCTGTTTTCCCCACCAGAGGCTTGGTCTGCTGTGTTTTCTAGGTTGTGCTGGCTTCTTGGCCATAGCCACCTACCCAGAGGGAGTGAGTAGTTGGACATGTTGGCTCGGGATCATGGTCATGGCGGACATCAAGCTCTACTGGTGTAACATATACACAAAAACATTGTTCTACATCCTACTTTGGTGAGTAGCAACTGGGGTCTTAAAAGCTTGATGCAAGCAGCCATCTGGTTGCAATGATGGGTCTTTTCTCATTCATAGCGAAGAAGGATGAAGACAACCAAAGATGCATGGAAACAGTTACGTCAAAGGACTGGTAGACTATGAAATCATCAGCCTATATGACCATGAGACAGAAGAACTAGATGGTGCCTGGCTACCACTGTCAACCTCTCAGAGGGGGATCGGTGCAA